CCAAATTTCGAAGCAGAGGATACAAGGCTCTAACCATTATTATTCCTCCTCACAGGGCCAATGAATATTCCTAAAATCATCTGAGCTTCCTAGAGGGTAGTTAGCTGAAAGCTGGATTTCAGACACAAACAGCAAATCAGACACAACAACCATCTACCCTCATAGGTACCAATTAATTAATATTCCTATACACTTTACTTGCCCAAGGTCAAATGTTATTATAAGCAGCTAGAGGATTCAAACTCTGACCTTTTACAGTCACAAACCCTTGCGAGTACATGTACATGTAGGCCACATGCCTGCACCCTTTAAAGCGTTGTTTATTTCATTTGACAGAGATGCCATCTCTCTTGCTGTTGTTATTTTCAAATACATTCTCATACCAGGGTTTTAGACAATACCTTCTTCCCCAGAACAGTGGGGATTGGAACAACATGGAGAAATATGAACAACATAGTGGGGCTAGCTCCGTCTCAGGCTTCAACTGTTTTTTTACTACCCGACTTTGAAGCTCCAAGCGCACTAATTAGACTAATAGTGCCACAAAACATAAAATAAGATGCAAGAGAGCAAACAAAACCTTACAATAATCCAATTTGACTTCAACGCTTCAGGCCCACAATCGGGATTGGTTTCGGGGACGAAGCCCGAGCTAGACCATCCATGGCTAGACGGAGACGAAGTGGGGTATTGGAAAACGGCCCTAGGCCCCACAGCGGTCGATTAAAAAAGTACGGACTCAGCAAGAACGCCCTCTAACCAACTATGAAACCCTCTTTGGGTGCATGGATCACTCACCCCATCAATGTATTACTTTGGGCGATTTCCAGTTCATAAAAATCTTTGAAATTTTGGTTTCGATTTCAGCCATTTATTTACTCGTGGTTTCCTTCCTCCATGCATGGAGGTAGTGCTCCATGGTTTAGTACAGCGACTAACTCCCGATTGCTGACCAAAGATCGTATAGCGCCGCGTAGCGGCGCAAGATGGTGAATTTCACCGTGAATATACATGTACGTAAAACGTTGTGGTCTCAAAGGCGCCATTTGAGCAAGCGATACGCCTGCGCAATGCAGGCGCCGCGGCAGGCACGTGCACGTGGTGAGCCTGCGCCGAAGCATTATCGTAAACTGCGCAGGCGTATCGCTTGCTCAAATGACGCTCATGGTAATTACACGTTTTGGGTAGAGTTATCCATCTTGCGCCTTCGGGGTGCAGACCACTATCAAGTGAGAATTTCTGACCAGCTCATTAGCATTAAAAGTGCCACCCACAGTATCTTTTGAAAAAGGAGATTGTTTGGCCCCCAAAATGGTAAGATTGTGTAAATCGTTGCCAGAATCAACTCCCTCGGTC